ATTGTTTTCAGAAGCAGTTTCTCACCTACCAGACTGATCCATTGATTGGTGTGGATCCCATCGCAAGGGATGCACATTGGGTTGGTACAATGAATTGTTTTCAGAAGCAGTTTCTCACCTACCAGACTGATCCATTGATTGGTGTGGATTGTGGATCCCATCGCAAGGGATGCACATTGGGTTGGTACAATGAATTGTTTTCACCCACCAGACTGATCCATTGATTGGTGTGGATCCCAGTGAGCCAGCAGACAAATGTTGATGTAATATCAGAAAAATGAATTATGAGCTGGGTAAGTTTAAATATGATAAACTCTCCGATGTAATGAAGCCTAGCCTTGTAATACCTTACAGCAATGTGGGTTGTGAGAGGGTTTCCTCACTTGTTTGCAAAAATAGACAGACTTTTGAGGATCAATGTCAAACTCCATTATAGAATCAGTGTTGATAACAAAGATGAGATGACACAAAAGCTACGTCTCTGCCAAGAATTTACAGATGCTTTCCTAAAGAAAGCCAAGAGTGCCACCTACAGGGTTCTTAAGAAGTAGCACACTAATTAGTAAGTATAAAATATAACATAATTTGTAGCAACATCATATTTTTTGTTAATTTACCTGATTACTAATTACTGATTGTCCTGATTACTAATGTTGGCAGGCCTCGCACTATGCATTGCAATGGGAAAGGTATTTAGGGAATGGATCTGTCATCCATCAGAGCTCATCTCGGACAGCTGTGTTTATGTGTTAAGGTTTTGTGTGTGAATTTTTTCATTTGTCTATAGACATTTACATTTACAATACTTGTAACATCACTGTTGATTTTTAATAGTTGCCCAGGTTTTGAAAGTGTTGCTAGATTTGGTGTCTCTTACTAGACAAGTTGACCAGTTCGTTATTTTTGATCAGACCAATCGGTTCAAAGTTTGTTTTGTAGTAGTACCACTTATTGAGGAATAGGTTTAACCTCACAGTAATTGAGACATCCTGCTTGACCATCAGATTCATTAAGAACTCTATGTACCTAACCTCTTACACGAGTAGTCTAGGAAGTTCATTTAACTGTTTTAATTACTTTAAATACTGCATTTACATTTTATGAATTTTATGCATTCAAGTACAAAATACTACAAGCAAAAAAATTGTGTCATATGTGGAGCACTGACTAATAGATAATTTGCAGTCTCATTTTGTATTGTATAATTCTTCAAGTGTCAGTATGATTGATTAATAAAGTATTTACAGTCTCAGTCTTTAACATGTGA